GTAAATATATATATATACACACAAAGTTGTAAATTTTCCTTCATTGATTTCATAGGGCTTTTTCTTCCCATTTACTTGCTAGATGTCCCTTTCATAAGTGCAAGATTAATGAAGGCATAATCCTATGTGATTACAATGATTACTTCAGTCAAACGTAGGAAGGGTAACACTCGAGTGTCTGTGTAAAGGCGCTGTCTGATCGGGCAATGCTGAATTCATTCAGTTTGCACATGGATCATGCGCAACGGAAACAAACAAAAGTAAAAAGAGGAAAAAAAATTAAAACCAGAAAATCCTTAGATCAATGTATTGCTTTCTGCGCTCCTATCTCACATTATCTCTGGTCGATGTCCGCTGGAGCCGCCTTGCTTTTGTCGGGGTTCTCCTCCTCAGGCTCCACTTTGTACATTTCCTCAGAGCCCTCCTCACTGTCGTTCTCCTCCGACTCCGTCAGCAGCTCCTCATCCTTGTACTCTGCCACGTCAACCACCGTTCCCAAATGCTCTTTTAGCTTCCCGTGGTGCTTTACGTGGTAACGTTGGTTCTGGAAGAATTTGATGATGGTGTGTTTGGGGAGATCCAGCTGAGCAGAGAGGGTGTGGATGGCTTCCTGATCAGGGTAGAGACCCACGTCGTGGATAAAGCTTTGAAGGATACCTAGAGCTTCCAAGGAGATCTTGGTACGGGATCTTGGCTTTTTGGCACAACTGTCCTCAGCGGGTGGAGGAGGAGCCTCTTCTCTAGGTGGGGAATTCTCCTTCGCGGGCTGGGACTGCTGTCTGTGCAGCACCTACGAGATCAAACAGACACAGACTTCATGTATGTGCTGACCCCCTCGGTGCTTGAGATAAGGGCACTTGTACAGGTCTTTACACAGGGTCTGCTGTGTTTGGTGAAGTACTAATTGCTATTCATTTTGCACTACCTTTCTTACCTGTAAGACTGCTGCACCACTAGCTACAGACTGAAAGGAGAAAGTGATATAAAAGGCAAGCGATATAAAATAAATATAAAAACACAAATAGTAAGTACAAAATGTAGGTAATAAAAAGAAATAAAAAATAGCCAAAATAAAAATTAGGTCAAAAGGTATTACAGTCTCGTGGTCACGATGACTGGCCAGTTGTCCCATCTCAGACAAGTCATTCTCCCACTTTGCTCCTCTTCTCCCCCCTCCTTGTTTCCGCTTGTCTTTTTAGGCTAGAGACTCTCACCATTTCTACAAGATGCCGAGTACCACATAAGGCCTAATCACACGTGGGATTGTCAGGTGCTGCTTTATCATGAGTAATGATTTGGCATTAAAATCCATCACAGCTGCTTTATGACCAAAAAAAGTATAATAAAAGTCCAGACATTTGTTAAGATTTCCCTTCTATGAAGAGCGACACTGTAGTCAGTTCAGTTGCTTCGCAGAGCTGGCTTGAACAGATTTCTCCGTATGACATCTGTATTAATTTCACTAGTTGAAGAGTTCTGAGTTCAAATAATTATATCCCTCCATTCTGAGAAAGCCTCTAGGCAAACACGGTTTTCAGTCTTGTAACAGATTTTCACCAGCAGTATCTCCTTTTCAGCAAGCATAAAGAAAGCGTATGTAGCTCTTAATCTTCCTAACAGCCACTTCAAATGACTAAGAAAGGGCCTTGTGCAGCCCTTATTCCAGGGAAAAAATACCTGCTCTGAATTGTTAGAAATACAGAGGAGCTCCACATGCTTTCTTTAAAACCAAATCTGTAGAAGAGAAATTACCGGCAAAAATCCCCTACAGGATTGAGGGCTCTATTTGCCCAGAGGTTTCTTCAGATGCAGAGAAATAATTATTAGAACTCAACGCTACAGAGCTAACAAAATCAATATGGATAAATATTTCCTTCCACAAATAAGAGCGAATTCTGGCTCTTCACCCAAAGAAGAAAACTGCTGCAAACTGTAACATCCAGAAAATCAACCCTACCTTAAAGCTCTCTAAAGGGAAAAAAATAAAGATAAATAACAGAAATGTGCTGAGAACTTGCGCTGAATTTTACACACATACGGAGCCCCCAGTAAAACGCTACACTAGTCAAGTTATTACTGCAAGAGGGAAGTCCACTGTGGAGTATCAGCCTGTTAAGCAAATAAATAAAAAGGCTCTGTGCCGAAGAGCCCTTTATTCATTTCCTTCATAAAACGTTGTTGTCATAGTAATTTATAACATCAACGATCTCCAGTCACAGTTTTTGAAAAGCACATCAAAGTCCCCAGCCACGGCCCACCACGCACGCGTGGCCGAGGAGCCGAACCTGGAGGAGATGGTGTGAAACGACCCGAGCTGCAGCCTGGCCAAGGGACTGCCTGTCTTCTGCTGCACCTGATGGCAGCAGGAGGCACTCAGCCGGCCAAGAGGCGCCACGTCTCCAGCTGCTGCTCAGCACCAGTCACAGAGGCAGGACTCAGCCCCGCATCCCCAGTGTCTTGATGAGCGGCGGGTGTGTGTGCGAGGGCGGGCACGTGCAGACACACAACTGCACGTCCTGCCAACTGCAGCACAAGTCACTGCCACCGCTGCCGTGGAGCGATGCTTGTGACAGTGACGGAAAGCACCCGAACCAGGAGGCAGCTTCGTGGCAGCTCCATGCTGTTCACTAAAGCAGGTGTCACCACGGGTGACAGGCAGGGCTTGCCACGCTCCTGGCAAGAAGCGCTGCAAATGTTTTTTGGTGCCAATAGATTCATTTTCCTTCCAAGCACATAAATACTCAGGGTGTCATAGACATGGAGCTAACCAAGGAGCTGGGGGAAAGGAGACACTCAAATGGGAATGATGGATATTCTGGTTTATGTTTTATTACATCTCTTGTAATAAAAGAGCATAATGTTCCAAAGAACATAATCACTCGGCTGCTCTTTGAGGATTTCTTTTTTGTCCATGGACTGTTTCCAAAGAGAAGGACTGACGTTTCCAAATAGAGGGGTTACAGACGAGGTCAGATCTGTACCTACATTGGCAGGGAGCACTGGAAGCAGCAGAGCCGGGATCGCTGACACTAGCCAAGGCCCCAGCCCCATACATTTGTCACACAGCCCCTACCTACGTTATCTCCCCTGTTGTGCCCTCTGGTCCTGTCCCCGGACACCGTAAAGCCCAGAGCAGCCAAAAAGAGAAGGATTTAACACTACAAATAAACTGCCAGGGAATTTACAGACAGCGTCATATGAAAAGCCTCAAGCAGCATTGCTAATCAGAAGCTGAATTCAAGTAGCAGCTAACAGAGATAGAAACATATCCAGAAAGAGTGCGAATTACTCGGTTCATTCCTGTTGGAGTTGGAAGCGGGCTTTTTTCCCCCTTCCAGTTGACAAATAGCATGAGAAATGATCCAGCTTGAAAAATGTTACAAGACTTCCAATCAAATACAATGATGAAAAAAAATCCAACAATACAGGATCAGCAGCAGTAAAATGTTTAATTTGAAGGAGATGAAGAGATGCCTACAGCATCCATAAAGCAATCAACCAAAGAGAGGGCTGAGAGCGGGAGGGAAAGAATAATTTTACTTAACCCTTCCTTTTCTGGAGTGACCTCTCCATCCTCTCCAAAAGAGAAACACGTAACTCAGGGGTTATCAGTGTAAAACATTAGAAAAAGATTGAATTTTATTTGACTTACTGTTTTCCTAAATAAGACAAAACCCTAAAGCTACTCTTATAACAGATAAATCTCATGATTTCACTAATTTCTTGGGGCTTGCACTGGATTTCCAGTGGCATTAACAAAGGATTTCAGCAACACAACATTACCCATATACAGAGAGACAGATAAACGTGCAGAATTTCCTTCAGGTTTAGGCTGTGATCAGTTTTGTATTTCCTTCCGACAATATGGGCTATTTAATACAAAAAAGCATGCTTTTCTTAAAACTCAACTGTTAAGACACACGATACAATATGAAATCTAAATTACCTTTTTGTTAAATATTTTGACCTGCATTTGTAAAAACTGGTTGATTTGGGCAGTTTGCTTACTTCATGTCCAGCTCTGCACGCCACAGCCTCATAGAGGAAACTGCCCATTTTTGGCACAGAATCACAGAATGGTTTGGGTTGGAAGGAACCTTATAGCTCATCTAGTTCCAAACCCCCTGCTGCAGGCAGGGACACCCTCCACTAGACCAGGTTGCCCAAAGCCTCATCCAACCTGGCCTTGACACTTCCAGGGAAGGGCCATCCACAACCTCTCCGGGCAGCCTGTGTTGCCAGAACCTGGCAGTTCCAGATTTTCTGATTTTGGGGTCATTATTATGCTCTTAAATCTGCAGGTAAAATTTCCAGTGGCTACACAAACTGCTGTGCGGACTCTGCTACAACACTTTGGTTTTTGGGTCGGCGCTGCTCTGCTTCCGTACTGCAAAGAAAGAAGCCCCACTGATCTTCCGTGACTGAAGTACAGGCTGCAGCACATTTTCCAGTGCAGATAAGATAAACCCCCCAAATGATGGTCTGACCTACCATGAAATGCCAGGCGTATGGTGGGCTTCAGAGAGAAGGGATAAAACTGAGGGCACATCCTGGTGCCCTCCTTTCCCACTCCCCTCTCCTTCCTCCGTGCCCTTCCCCACCGCTCCCTGGCCACAGGTGGGGCAGCCTCCTCCTCCTCGAGCCACCACCATCTGGAGCTGACTTCCCTTCCCCTCCCTCCCTCCCTCCTCACCGACTCCCCATCTACTTTCAAATCAAATGTGAAGATATAGATTTCCTTCCATGCCCACAGGACATATTTTTTCCATCCCTTCAAGAGATTTCATTTTTTAACTCTACAGGCATGGCTGCCTTCTCAGCGTTTCAGAACAGCCTGGGTACGGAAGATGCTGCTTTATGAAGGTTCATTCAGGTAGACTTTAACTTCACAGACAAACCCATTTTTTCAAACAAATTAACCAGCCCTGATAGAAAACTTGCAAGAAAATGAGTATGATGGAGGTTGACTTTAAAAGATAAAGTGACTGGTCTTAAATCGCACTGTACTGAAATATGATTTGAAGGCCACAATGAAAACCAGCTGGAAGCCATGTGTAAAATATAATAGTACATGCCTACAGGGAAGGAAGTGAGATATTGAATGATTAAGTTTAGGAGAGTATATAATGTAGTGTATCATTACGGGAGTGATCAGGATTACTTGTAATAAGCTAAGGGTTTGTGGTCTTTCTCAAATCCAAAGCCAAGAGTTATTGGGGGGAAGGGATCACTGCACTGTTTTACACGTATCTGCTCCCCATGTCTGGGGATGCTCCTGCAGGAGAAACCTGACTGGGGCAGACTGGGACAGCCACGTTCCCACAGAAAAGAGAGGTGAGCAAACCCAAACTGAACGATGAACGTCATGTAATTGCAGTCTGTGTCTGCACTGTATTTAATTTTGGCTGGATTCACTATCCCACTGCTGTTTGTTTCCATTTCCACCCACTTTCTAGCTAGAACTAGACACGTGAAAATAGTGAGCGGCTAAGGGGAGCCAAGCAGGACGCTTGAGCAGGGTACACACACGCACTCGGGCACCAACTGCAGCACGGCACCGGCTGACAACACTTACTCAGTGAAATGCCACCTTTCGTTGCCTGAACAGCTGTTGCAGTGGATTAGAAACAAGAACTGCATTTCTATGTGAAAACCCCAAGCTCTTTTGTTTCGTAGTGTGGGTCTGCTCTTCTTCCTTCTGCAGATGGGATTAGTCACGTGAGCTCCTTTCTGACCAGTTTTGCTGAGATGATGAGGTGCTCCTTACTATGAGAAATGCCAAAAATGTTA